GATGATGAGAGCATCCATGCCCGAACCATCATAACATGCGTGTTCGACTGCGCTCAATGATGGATCGTATTCGAGTGCACTCGATGTTGGGAGCATCCATGTCCAAACCATAATAACGTTGGTGTTCCAAGAGGATACGGTTGCCAGAGCATCCATGCACAAACCATCACAACGTTCGTGTTCGAGTGCACTCGATGATGACAGGACCCATGGCCAAGCAATACTTCCGTTCGTGTTCGAGTGCATTCGAGCTTGAGAGCATCCATGCCAAAACCATAATAACGATCGTGTTCGAGTGCACTCCATGATGAAAGCATCCATGCCCAAGACATAGTCACGTTCGTGTTCCAAGAGCATACGGTTACCAGAGCATCCATGCTCAAATCATTATGACGTTCGTGTTCGAATGCACTCGACGGTTCCAGTTGGTGCGGTCGTGGCACGGTGTAGGTGCTGCGGTCTACGTGGGCAGTGTAGCTGCTGTGGCGCACGCGATGTGGTGTAGGTCCTGTGCTGTGTGTGGCCGGTGTAGGTGCCGCGAGGTACTGGCGGGAAGGCGTTGCAACGGCGCCGCCAGCGCTGCCATGATTCCGAAGAGAAGTCTCCGGACGCTCCACGCGCCAGCGCCGCCCACCGAAAACGGCGGGAGGGCGGTCGATTACGACAGGAATTGTCGGGACGCTCCATTCGCCAGCGCCGCCACCCGCCGAAAACCACGAGAGGATCGTCGACTACAAAAAGATTGAGGACGCTCCACGCGCCAGCGGCGCCACCCACCCAAAATCACGAGAGGATCGTCGATTCCGACCAGAATTATGAGGACGCTCCACGCGCCAGCGCCGCCGCCCGCCGAAAAAAGCGAGGTCGTCGATTCCTGCATGCGCCCGCGTGCACCTTAGACGCCAACCCCGCATGCACCTTTGACGCAAAATGCGGGTGCACCTTAGACGTCGTGCCCACCCAGAAATGTTATGAGCGGGCCATAGCCTGGAATCGCTCCAGCATGAGCTTTTTGTTGATCTCCTGCTCAGAGAACATGTCCAGCTGGCCATGGCCTCCCAAGAAACTCAAACAGAAGGGGAGGCCAATTCAGTGTGCAGTGGGAAAACTCCTATTTCCCACGCCCGAAGCTAACTCAGAATGTGTACCTAGATATTCGAGCCCACAAGCATCCTTCTCCTTTTTGGGAAGCCCGTCACAGGGCTCCTAGAGACCCCAGCTCCAGCCAGGCTTCATCTTTAGATTCTTCTCTGCGATACATTGCACAGACTTCTGTCACGCGTGCCTACTCGGTGCGATGTGCAAGGAATTCTCGCATTTTTGCAACATGTGCGGTCTTGCCATCCAGAATCAGAAGTCGATCGCCGTCCTGCTTGCTGCTTCCGACCTCTCGGCCAGGAAACCTTCTTGTAAGACTCGGGTTCGGGGAGACTCTCTGCTCAGTCCCGAGCACGCGGCTCCTGTCCTGCACAACTCTGATCCATGGCTTTGGGCAGCATGCCGGTACAAGTAGGCCGTTGCCGATTGCCAATGAACCCGGCAGCCCGACCACAAAAAGACTGATCAAGATGAAGGCCTGGTTCATTTGAGTCTGCCAGCGATGTTGCACTTGCGCACAAGTTCCCAATGGACTGATCTTCAGGTGCCGATGCGGGCATGCGGTGGCATTTACTTTGTGGGACAGCTACAGTGCTTTGGGAATGCCAGCCCACATGCCACGTCAACTGATTCATTATCCACGCGGGAGGACATGCACGCAAGGGTGTGTTGCCATGTTTGCTGCCTCAGCTGTTAGTTTCGCAACCATTTCGCGGCAAAGCAATTTCAGGCCTCTCAACAAAAGCAGAGCATGCTGCACAGGTCCCGCCTTTCAGCGCTGCTGCCCAGGTCTCACCCTGCAAGGGGCAAGGGAAAGGTAAATCTCCAGAAGATGTCTCGCTGATTCTGGTCTTCATTGCTCTGGTTGCCTTGTGGGCCTTCTGCAGCTGGATGTGCAGCTCCCCATCCTTCAGCATGCTCAGAATGGCGCAGAATACAGCCAGACGGCTTGGGCCTCGATCATCCAGAAGGAGCTGTCAGTCTCAACCTCAGCAAATGGCAGCTAATGGCCAAAGCGGGTTTGCTTGGAGATGCAGACACAGAAAGACCAAGCTGACGACCAAACTGAAGGGATCCTCGTTGAGAAAGGGAGGATTGCCCTTGATGCCAACACGAAGATGTCTTGGCCTTGAACTGTTGGACAGGGCATGCAAACTGATCCCCTGTCTGTCTTGGTGTGATGTCGTTTTCAGTCTCGGCCAGCAGAGCGCACCGAGGGCTAAGATCCACTTTGCATGCCACCTGTATTCAACCGCGAGCCTTTGGCTAGCATTGAAGCAGGGCACCGCAACTCAGAACACCTGGCACACTATGAGCTTTACACACATTCTTGTGGACTCCTTTGGTCTCCCCAGCCTGGCTGAGCCACACATCTGCAGCGCCCCAAACAGTGCCAAGGCCAAGCAGCGTGTTGACACCCGAACCGTTGCTCTCCTGCCAAGTTCCAAGCTCCGCGATAGCCCCTCACTGGAGAGACCAAACTCCAGTTGAATTGCAGTATTGGAGCCGCTCCGTTGTCATGTGCAAGAGGCGCAATGGCAGCAACCTGGTGGGACCATTTTGACATAAAGACATTGTCCGACAACGGTATGTCCATTGCATCTGCAGATTTCAAAGCAGCGTAAGGCTAGATAGAGCAGACAGGAGGGGCTACATGGAACACGGCTCGGCGCTGCCAGAGTGCGCAGCTTGGCAGAGTTCGTGCGAAAGGTCCACTCGCGGCGCAAAGCATGAACAGCGCCACCCTCAGCATCTTCAAGTTGGAAGTAGGGAGGCACTCGTAAGCAGGTAGAGCGTCTGGGGAAGATGCCATCCACCAGTAGCTCACCCCGCTCGGTTAGCGGGGCAAAAGCTCCAGGCCAGCCAAGGGTGGTAATTTGAAGTACGGCTTCTCCTCGTCCCTACGGTGCCAACTGGCAAAGCCGCAAAAAAAATTGAAAGACTTGTTGCAGGTTCTGCTCTGACATCAGATCCCGGCCTCACGGCCTTCCACAAGATCGCCTTTCTTCCTGCAGCGCACCAAGGATGTTCATCCTTCGCTTTGGGTTTTGCGAGCTGCAGCCCAGAAGCACGTACTTGGCTTTTTGCCAGCACCACTCACCACCAGCATTTACTCTGACCATGTGATCGCCCGTGAGCGTCAGGTATCGCATCTTTTCGAAGTGCAGAAAGTAATACTTGAACATACCCTGGCGCACGCTTCAAAAAAAGATGGTCTCCTGACAAAATTCACAACTGAAAAGGCCTCGGCATCTGAATGAAGATGGGCAATAACTTTGGACCATGTTCCCCCAGGGCACTCAAGCTCATAACCAACCTCAGATGCTTACTACGGCATGCTAGACAAGCAGCGAAGGCACTGTACAGTACGAGTCAACCAAGTGGCCTTGACATCCGCGATAGCAAGCTCCCCAAGATGCCTTTCACGGACCTTCGCAAAGGGCGGGAAGCAGCCCGCCTGTCAGGGACTGACATGCTGCAGAAAAATCCGGTACACAAACCCTTGCCTCAGAGAAGTGTGATGACACTGCCAGTTTGCAAGGTTCTTCAAACTCTGCACGTCTGTCACCAAATTTCTTTTCGCATTCCTTGGGCAGTTCACTTCTAATTCACATGGGATTGCTGCACTGCCTTGCTTGGTACGGCACCCGGTTGCAGACTGCGAGATCCTGGTCGCAGCTGACCTGTGCAAGTCGAAAGCAAGGGCAGGTCACAAGCTGGATATGTGAACCTTGCCTCTTGCTCTTTGAGCTCGGGTGCTTTGGGAAAGAACTTGATTGTGGTGTTGAAGAAAGAGCTCTTGGGGCAGCTTCCTGTTGACACAGGGTGAAGACCTATCCAAGAATCTTGCTGCAACCAGCTGCTGCCTCCCAGAAAGGTGGCTGCCTCTGGGCCTCGCCCAAGCGGACGCAGCCCAGGCTCCAAAGCGTCAAAGTCCGGAAGCGGAGGCCGCAGCGGCATTGGCAAATGATAGACAGCTGTCTAGTCTTAGTTCTTTGTCAGCCCTAGGTCCACTTTGATTGTCCAAGTCTTCCTTTGCTGGCTTTAACATGGGAAGCTCGAGCCTGGAAGCTTGGGCGATTGTCCATAATGTAAAACTCAAAACAAACAGCAAATGTAAAAAGCGCCATGCAATGATAGTGGCGACTGACAAGTCCAAGCTACGAACTCGATCTTGATATCCAAATGATGCCTCCAAAGCTTAGAGGCTTAGAGCTGCTGCAAGTTCATACGTTGGTCCTCAAGCTGAGCCCTGCACTTCGTCACGCCAGGTGGGGGCTGTATGTAGATGTGAGTCTCATCTATATTCCTTTGCAGCTTCAACCGTTTGAAGCTTCAGCGTGATGCTGTGGACAGAAGTTCCGGGTAGAAGGCTGCTCCCACTCGTAGACAGTCCGGCCATCATAAACAAACCTCGCAACGGAACCGAATAGTAGTCAAGTAAGAGAGACCAGCTTTTCACGGAAAACTGTGGTAGTTTGTATGTTTAACGTAAGGCTGCGGCTGCTGACGCCCGCGTGCTTTCTCTGTGAGTTTGCGCAACTCTGGGTTATCCTGGCGGCAGTGAACCTTCCTCAGACTGACGAACACTGACGATGTACGCATGTGACATTGGAGGCACAACGTCCAGTCTCCTCCTGCATTCTGTCTACGCTTGGAGCTGTCCAAGACTAGCCAGCTACTTCATGAGGTCTATCACTGGCTTGCTTTGCGGTAAGTGCTTGTCAAACTATGACTGCAAATTGCTGCCTGAGCACATCTCTTGATGCTATCCCCTGCTTGATCATGCACCTGCATCACTTGGTCCACAGTCGGAACATGCGGTTGCAATAAGCCTGACAGTGGACTGCCCGTAGATACACCATGCAGCACTGCAAACAGCTTTTTGTAATTTGACTCCAGAACTGCCGACATCGCTGAGCACGCAGTCGATGGCTTCACTCAAGTCTTGAGCACCCGGCCTAGCAGTCACAGAGAGGGAAACGCACGGTGTGAGGCGAGATAAGTGGATAATGGTACCAGTTTTAAACGGCCCCATGGTGCAGGAATCACCTGGGGCTGGAGTAGGGACAACAAAATTGTAAGGGCCTCAGGCCGAAGAGGTACTGGAAGTGCATTGGAGCAAGGGGCAGAGACACGCTTTGGCTATGAGGGTCTGAGCAAAGGTAACAAGAGATGGCTATGAAGGCAAGGATAACCAAAAGACGATCACATCAAGGGTGAGGAGTATGGAAAAAGAATGGAAAAAGAGTACGGGAGCGCAGCTACGGGCTTGGTAATTAATTGGGTACGAGCAGGGGACAAGCCGTGAAGAAGTGGGACAACAACTACCAAAGTTCTGATCCAACATGTCCGATCCAAAAAAGCAGAGGACGTCCAAGAGCACGCGGCATACAACCACAGATATCTAACTGAAACAACTAAAATTCTGAACTGCTGCCTCTACTTTCCCAACTTGAAATCGCAACCGCCTTTCAAACTTGCGTTTCTGGCTGAATGACCTGCCTCTACCGTGAGTGAAACACGGGCAGACACCAAAGGAAGCACAGCGACACGACAGCTTTCGTATTCCAAAACGCAATGCTCAGGAGCTGCATATGCCATCAACAAAATGTGCACACCCGTTGCTGCTTTAGAAAGTTAGCCGTCATTCAATCTGGGTCACCTAGTGGACAATCTACAGAAAATCCTCCTTGATATTCCATCACCATTGATTGTTGATCCTCGATCTGATCCGACGTGGTGATTCCGTTTGCGAGCACTGAAGTTGGCCTTCTTTTCCGGGCTTCTTTATAAGTGTTAAACTTGCTTTGTCATCTTTTGTGTCACTAGAATTCATACAGACATATGTGTTCAGAAAAGCATCAGACAATGCCTTAAACTTTGATGTTGTTACATACTTGTCAAACATCCTCAAAAAAAAACGCTTTCATGTGGTGCACTTCCTCAATCTGCTTTTACATGTTCAGTCGAAAACATCCTAGACCAAGAGGGCAACTTTGAATGCTGGGGGTCTTGCGCCCGGCTCTCCGACAATGCAGGTACGAGTGTCTCCTGAACAGCAGATGCCAAAGCAGCAAGGGCCAAAGCAGTGAGATTTGCATGTACACTGGCAGCAGGGCTCAGCGTCTGACAGAGACCCACCGCTTGGTGCAAACAGGCTCCAGGAAAAACAGTGCAGCCTTGCAATGCTGACTCGCACCGAAGCAGAACTTCAGATCTTGAAAGTGCGACTGAGGTGCCAGATTCCAGCTTCTGCTTGCTAGGTGTTACTCTACAGGTCAAACGAGGTTGAGCTTCATTGAGGCGCGTTTCAAGCAGCAGTTCGCAAAAGAGCGATACACCTGTGACATCCAGCAACGTTCTCCGTGCAGCAGCCTGCCAGTCGCAATGATACAGCGATGCGGCGAGATCGGCCGCCTGTAGATGCAGCTCGATGGAACCTTCGGATTACAGCTTTCAAGAATGCAAAGCTCAAACGCACTCATGTTCAACAGCAAGGACGCACGGTAACAGCTGCATGCTAGCTATCAGAACATGTTAAGGACATAAGATATTGCAACAAATTCTTCTCTTGCAGGCGGAGATAGTAATGTATACTATTTGCAAGAACTTCTTGGAACGGTCAGGTTCTTGCATCAGAGATCTGAAAAGCCCTACCTTTCAACTCCTGCAAAGGACTTAAGCTACCTTGTTGGCTTCTCCTCGCAAAATCCGAGCAAGCCTGAATTTTGCGGTCCCCCTGTTCTCTCCACAATCCACTTTCACGCGCTCACAAAGTCATTGAAGAATTGGAGGTGGGAAACGTCTTCTTGTTGTTGTCAGAACTCCTTCCCCACTCTACCCCAAACCTTCAGTCAATCTACGACCACTTGTGAAGGCCTCCGTGTAAAAGACGGGCCAGAAGCTTCCAAGCTGTCATCGCCTGCCTGCAGATTTGCGATTCCTGGGCTTGCCTCTCTTTGCGGAAGCTTTCGACTCCTTCTTGCGGATTGTGAGGCTGATGCTTCAGCATGTCAGTAAGGAGATTTTCACAGCTCAAGCTGTGGCTGCTGTAAGTCCCACCACTGATAACATGATGTCAGCTTAACGTGCTCATGTCTAGACAGTTCTGACTACTGGGGATACTTGCCTTTGCACCGAGTCACGCATGCCCTTGCAGGAAAACATGTAGTGCAGTATGCAGCCCGCCTTGCGATCAAACATCCATTCAAGGTAACCTGCTCAGGGCTTGAGATCAAGGAATTGCCGCCAAGCCTCTCACTTTACGTGTTTGACGCACAATTAGTCATGTGCCTCGAGAGTTCGACTGCGGACCAACATGCCACCTGCTTCCGCCTGGCGAAACCAAGCTGAATCTGCGCAACGCAGTGCAGCAAAACACATGTATGCTCTGTCCTCGTCCAGAAGGGCCAGGGCAAGACCTGATGACAAGCGTTCTTGTACGTACTCAAAAGATCCGAATGATCAAGGCAGTCATGGCGGCAGCAACCGTTGAAAACTTGCATGCAGCCAAAGCAACATCAAACAAAACTGTCTTAGGTCAAAACTCCAGTGCCCTGCCGCGCTGGCGCTGGATACTGTCAAATGGTACCTGGCAACAGCTGCCAAAAGAAAGCTCTGCGAGTGCCTTGTGCCTGTGTTGCGGGCAGCAAAGGAAGACCTGTTTTGCCAAGACTGACCCTGAACTCGGAGCCAGGTATGCAGTAGGCGGCCACAAACAAACACTTTGGCATTGGCTTTGCTGCAGGCAATCAAATAGAGACAAGGCCAAACAAGGCGGACTTTTCGACGGATTCACGATGATTTCTTGCAAGGGCAGCATGAACGGCAGGCTGAGAGGCGGAACGTGACCCCAACGCTGGGAGATGATGCAGCATGCGTGCCCCTTTCAGGTGGCTGCAAGCCCGAGAACTCAGGGAGAACTGGTGGACTAAGTCTTTCAACATGTCAGCAGGTTCTGACAAAGTTGCAGCAAGTGTCCCGAGCATGACCCCATGGTTTTGGAGCAGGATGATGCACAGACCGGCCCCAGCAGGTGCTTACACTGTTTTGCTAAGGAGTCACACAAGGAGGCGCTCTGCAGACTTGCGGGTGTTTGCGGCCTGTTACAGAATTTTGAGATGTGCACCCGGCAAAGTTTGAGAGCTTCTGTTACCTTCTTCACTCTGCCTCTGGCAAAAAGACGAACCAGTATCAGCAAGCGGCCAATGAAAACTGGGTTGAAGGGAGACCATAAGGTAGGTAGCAGTTGGTGCTGTGCTGTAGCATGTGACGCTTTGCTTGCCAAGCATTGCAGTATGAAATTTCTCTGGGAACGTGGGCGATTCTCGCCAGACCCAAACCTTTCAGGGCGACATGTAATACACAAGGAACAAATTCCAACGGACGCAACAGGACAGAGGTGAAGCGCGAAGGCGAGCTTCAGTGGCCAGTCCTGCACACTTTTAGCAACCACCCTACCTGTGCTGTTGAACCTGAGCGCAAACCAGAGGATCACGGAATCAGGCTTTTGCTGTGGAGGTGGCAACTTGACAAAGAACCACAGCATGTGAAAACACTGGTTGCAACATGCCAGCCAATGCAAACGTTACCTCCTGAAGCCACACTGGCAATAACAGAATCTTCAGACATCAAGCTTGAACGTTTCTAGCTGTACCATCTCCATATTCGCTCTGCAACCGCCCAGGAAGCTCCGATCAGCGTTGCAGCTATCAAGTGAATCCAAGCTAGCTGACTGACTTTGTCAATTACTTGCTCCGTGGTTTCTACAGTTTCCAGCGCTTGCACTAATAAAATGGTGGAACTGAACTGCTACGGAGGCGAGCTCACAACGACCCCGCCGAACAGATCTCAGCATCATCCGGAGGTCTTCGGAAAGTCTGGAGGCTTGAAAGTCGGACGGGACATCACTCGTAGCGCCAACTCAGCTTGGCAAACTCTTCAAAGCAATCCATCATTTCGACTTCAAACATGCTGCTCTGACTGGGTGAGCGTTGGTGCAGAGGAAGCTTTCCTGGTGTCCTCGACAGATCTTGCATAAACTTTGAAATTACGAGTCGGCAACATCGTGCCACGCATTGCTTCTAGCATCCTTCAACAACTGCAGGCGCAATAAGGCAGTCGACTCAAACTGGAGCCCACCTGCAGAAGCTGCAGGCATTCCAGCCAGCGCCCACAACTGGCAACAAGGAAAAGTAAATGTCAAGCGAACCTTGCTCTGTGCTCACAGCCGCTTTGAAGAGTTGTGAGCTTACGACTGCACTAATTACTTCAACCACATGAAAACCACTGCGGATTCTGTTGTCTGAACCGACTAACAAGGCTACGTTGCCGAAACCGTTAAAGTACAACATCATATAGGTCTGAGCCCCAGGCGCTTCGCATGCTCGAAACGCACTGTTGTAGCTAAAAGCCTCGCACAAAAGAAAACCGAATGAAACCAGTTGCACTCAAAACATCGTGCCATCAAGCTATTTTGTTTTCATCTCCGTGGCATCAAACGAGGCCAAAGCCCGACAAGATTTCTGGGCGTGTTGAATGGCCAGGGGAGACAAAACCCCCGCGATCACTGGGAGCTCCGGTTAGGGTTTCTCATCGAGGGTAAATGAACGTACGCTGTAGATACTTGGCCCAGCTTTCTCGCGATGTACGGGAGGAGCCCAGAGGGGCGATGTACCAGAGGGGCTCTATTTGTCCATTCTCCATGGGCACCTCCATAAACACCTACTGATGACTGGTGGGGAATGAAGGAAGGGGTTGCGAGGACATTTGAGAGGGGATGATGTACGGGCTAGTACTGCAAGCGTCGCTAGCTGGGTAGGTACACTCTACAATTTTTCCACGAACCTGGAAGTCCCTGTGGAATCAACATGGCCCCCTTCCCCCACTGGCACTGTCTCCGCACGTTCGCATTATTATCAGGAGTGGCAATTGCCAAAGCTTAAGGACGCTAAGAAACTAATTGCCAGTTTTGTGGACATGTAGACGCGGGACAACAGCAGATAGTGATCGACTGTGCTGCCTTCCAAGAGATCCGGGACAGAGATTCTTTCCGGAACCTTCAGACGGCACCACTATTCACCCGTATCACAGGGATTCCCACAGTGCTTGGGCGTCTGGCCCAAGAAATGTATTTCACCAGCCCCAGGGAGATCTCCATGTGTCTTCAGAGACGGATCGGCAAATATCGGCAAGTCCACCTGACCTTCCTCTGTGAGCCTTGCATCCTGGTCCATGGTAAGGGCTCCATCTGAGGGTTCGTCTTTTCTTGCCTCAGGCAAGACATATTCAGAGCAGAGATTTATACTGTCCGGATGATGGTGAGATCTTCTGTGACAATCAGTTGGTCGTTGATTGCTCTACAGCAATTGTCACAGGTGGAATTGAATCGTTTTCCTGGCGCTCGCACCCGAATTATGACCTGTGGATACAAATCCTGGCACTGTTGGCTTCCAAAGGTCCTCATAACTTCCACATTTTCAAAGTCAAAGCCAACGGCCGTGTGAGGAGGCTGTTGGGGCGTATGACCAGTGAACTATTGTTGACCCAGCAGACTCCTTGGCTAAAGCAGCCATCTGGGAATATTTGGCTTCCATCGGATCAAATCCCGACAGCCGGAAAAACCAGGACCTTCAGACCATCCGAATTGCCCACACAGCGTCGTTGATGTTACATGAAATAGCCCTACGGTCTATCGTCCTCAGAGCTGGAAGAGAGCCACAGGATCCAGAAGAAAATGAGGAGGACCCAGCACCAATAAGGGACCCACAACAGCCATCTGACACTATGCCCAGGGTTATCCGACCCCATGTTACTTTGGGTATTCCCGCCACGCCCCCTACCAGTCCTAGCTCCAAATTGGTCTGTTTTTGCTTCTCCAAGCTCACATGGCCCCACACAGAAGAGCCAAGACAAGGACGTGTTTCCTTGTTGGAGTTGATGATACATGTATAGATATGTATATATATGTGTCTATATATATATATCTCAAACTAAGATACATTTCCCTGAAAAAAAAATCCAGGAAGCCTAGCACGAAGTCAAAGTTGGTGTGGAGGCACATTAGCCTCAGAAAGAAACAAGACCCCCAATCTGGGCCGTGGCCTGTCTCTCCCGTAGGAGGCCTCCGTTTAAATTGGTGCAGAGGCCCCTTACCAGGCCCACACCAACCTTTCCAAAAAGCAACAACTTGCCCAGTACAAGTCAAACTGGCAAAGCCACCCGCCAGGACGCCAGGGACTGCTGCAGCGTGGTGGTGTGGGCGGGCAGCAACAGTTGAACCAAAGTAGCCCGGGCGTTATCCACATGAATGCGGGCCGTCTGTTGGTCTTTCCACCTGCCCTGCACCATGTCAATACATGAATGCTCTTTGCTCAAAGTGTGCAGCAACCGGGGCGGATCTGAAATCGGATCACCCCAACCGCTTTCCAGCAGCTGTGAACATGAGCTCTCCCACCAGCCTGGGCTTCAAGCCTTTGCACATGTAACGTTGACAGAAGCTGCAATGCCAGCACCCACTGCCTCAGCAAACCGCTCCACATAAGACTTGAAACTCATGAAACGAGCCTTTGCTATTCCTGTCCTTTGTTTAGATCAAACTTCTGTCACAAGACACTACCAGCCAGTATCTTGTGCAACAACTTTCCAATTATCATGTTCCATGTCAATCAACCCTGACTCGAACATCTTGCACTGTGAATGCTGAGCTAAGGCATTCGCTCACCACAAGCAGCCGCCTCTAGCGCCCCGTTGAAGGACCACAGGTCAGGATCTTGGTGCTGCCAACAGCCCTCAAGAGAGCTGACATCATCCCATTATGCCTGGCTCTGGAAAACTTGTGAAAGCACAAAACTTATGCCTTGCACCTTCCTGGACTTGGCTCCATGGCTGATCGCATAGTGCCGCATCGCTTGGAAGGCAAGCCTGGCGAGGCTTCTAGTCAGACCAGGCCGAATCTGACAGGCTCCAAGTCTTCTGTCGTTATACGAACACTGTTTCATCAAAACAGAGGCTTGCAAGCATCTGCTGTCCGCGAAACTGCCTGCATCCGAACCCGCAACGAACTTAGTTTTGCAGCCTGGCGATCCCTGGCTAGCTGCTTGCAAGCAAAATCTTTTAGCACAGAACGCCCAAAGTCTGTACCCTACAACCTGCAGCTGCAGCATCGTACTTCCGAAAGCTTCAACTTTGAGCATCTCACAAGAAGACACACACTGGCAAAGTCTCTTTCACCTAGGGTCTAGGATAACACCAGGATTGCAGGCTGCCCCGGATTGACGGCAAGCGTGCAGGTGCTACAGGACTTGCCGCCACTGGCCAGCTTGTGCACAAGAAGATAAGACAGCCTGATGACTTGGTGTTCAGAGATGCATCGGCCTGACAAACACTCTCAGGCTCTGGCATTTAGACTCGCGAGGGTCGGGAGAACCTCACAAACAAGATACCAATCAGCCACGGTCCCGAAAGAACCAAAACACACAAACAAAGCACTTCCAAAACAAAAACGGCTCTTTGCATCAGTGTGTTGAGAAGTTGGCCTGGTTGTCTTCCATGCTTTCAAAGAGCTGCAGAGAGTGCTGCCAGCGCCTCAGTCACAGGGTGTTGGTCTGAAGTGAAGCCGTCTACGAAGAAGGCATCTACAGACTCTGTATGCGAGCAAGGCGCTTGACCTTTCTGCAAGCACTGATAGCAGTGGTGTATGCAACATCATCTGGTAAGATCTGTAGCTCCTCATCAATGTGCTGGGGCTGTGAATTGCTTCTTGAAAGGCCTTGGCTGAATTTTAGCCCGCAAATCTGTAGTCGACGCCGAGTCGACGACACTTCTGCGAGGATACGATGCCAGGTCTTGCTGGGGGCTTATTACAAACGGCTATCCCAGCGGTGCTCGACAACTTTGCGAGGTTTCTGGCAGTCGCTGCAAACTGGAAAGGGCGGTAGGTCACTTGTAACTTCTCAAAAGATTGATTATAGCTCCTCCAGGCGAGGGTCACTTGTGATCTTTTAGGCTTACTTTTGATTTCTCAACCACGCGGATTTATTCACCGGGTATGGGATCATGGAGGGGAGCAGCACAGGCTAGGTTTAGGATATACGGTTTTAGGATTGTTCTCAGACCTTCTGGCAACTGCACGAAGTCCAGTTAAAAAGAGCCTTCCGGCCAGGTCAACCTCAGCATTCCCTGATCCTGACCGACCCAAGGCATATCACCAGACTCAGCAGGCACCGCACTGTATGAGTGCTGGTCTTGGTCATCACATACCCCTCAAACAGCCATGCTCTCCCTGTCAAACATGGCTACCCTACACACAGGGCCTCGCATGTGTTCAAGAAATGTTGGGGTTTAGGGTTGGGGGAACATTGCGCCGGGGTTGCAGCTGGGATGGCGGTTAATGGACTGCGGTTTCTGGCGCTAGGGTTGAAGATGTCGGTGCTTCGTTTTTAGTTTGGGGTTTAGGACAACGTTTGGGGTACACATTTTACGGTCTCGGGTTACTGGGCTCAACGACACGGCTCATTCTGGGTTTGCGATCCTTTGTTTAAGAATCTATGGTGTAAGGTTTGAATTTAGGATTTGCGTTTGACTAAGAGGCCAAAGCTGTTCAGGGTTATATTGTTTAGGGTTTGTGTGGCGAAGACGCACGGCTTAGGGTTCGTTCGGACTTTTTGCTGAGGCCATGCGCACGAATCAGCCCTCTCTACCTTTGGTGCTTGCAGCTGGGAGTTGGGGGCTGGCGAGCCTGACTGGTTGCCCGCAAGTTTGAACCGCGAAGGACGTCAAGCCTTCACAGCTATCTTGAATGCCCAGAAGCCTGCTGCAGTTGTAATCTGGAAAACGCTTCTGGGCTTGATGGCCCCTGCTGGCAGACCCATCTGGAAGCGCAGGCGAGGACATTTGTTCAGGAGGCCGCAGCGAATCTCGCGGCACTGGTCTGGTTGGCCATACCGGGGCCGGCGCATGGGAGAAGCAAGCAATCTTGGACCTGCTCCGGGCACGCCTGTGGGCGGAGAACGGGAGCATCAAGCCCGTGAGCGCTCTCGCCCTGGAGGCCTTGCTGCCGCCGGTCGGCCTGTCCGGGATGATGGGGGAGCTGCTGGCAGAGTTTTCTGTCCAGTGCCAGGCTGCCTCTGCGCCGATCCTGCTCGGGCCCCCGAATGTGAGCTCCATGCGCTCCCACATTGATGCTCACGTTACTGGGGCTGCGGAGGGCGACGTGCCGCAGGCCTGGATTGAAGGAGATGGGCGCACTCGATGCTTGGTACATGGCTTCAGCGTGTCGGAGCGTTTCGGCATCCATCCAACCTGCCGCCCGCTGCCCGGGCGGCTGCCGCCAATGAGGGGTACCCCATGGAAACTGATGATTTGGACCTGCCGTCCTTTGAAGCCATTCAAGCGGCCCGCACTCCTAATTTGCGCCATGTGCCTGCCAAAGCCCAACACCTGTGGAGCCAGCTTCTTTCCCGCGCTTTGGCTACTGTGGCACACAACAATGATGAGGCGGCGTGGCGGGAGCTTCTCATGCTGCCGCAGCGCGTGCTTTGCTCGCCTATTAAGGGAGGCAAGAAACACACCACGACCGCGGCTGCATTCATGCTGAATCGGATGCAGCGATGGCAGGAGGTGATGGCGTGTCGCTTCTGGAAACTCGGCCGAAGCATCGCCGGCGAGGCTCTGCGACACCCACTCCTGAGGAGAGACGTGACATGGCCACAGCTTGGGGGAAGGAAGGCTATGACAAAAAGCCCTGACAATGCTGAGACTGCCGAGGCTTTGGAAGCGCTTCATCCCCTCGGGTCGCGCCCTGCCACCAGGCCTCTGCAAGAGCTGCCTCTTGCGCCAGAGGTTGCGCCTGAAGTGGTAGCTCGCTGCTTGCGTGCCCTCCCTGCTGCTAGCCCAAGGACGTGCTCCGTCCTGTGTCGCGCCTGTGCTAGCTGGGGCTGGCCTGGTATCGTTGCCCAAGCCGATTGGGGGCATTTGTCCCATTGCCGTAGGTGAGCTCCTGCGCCGCCTTACTGGTAAGTGCCTGATGAGTATGGTTCGCAGTGAAGCCAGTGCCTACTTCTGGCCTGCTCAGGTTCCGGTTGCCGTGAAGGGGGGCGTTGAAAAAGCCATCCACGTTTTGCGTGCCTGGACTGACCGCCACGCCGGCTTTTCGAGAAAAATGTTAGTCAAGGATAGTCAAGGACTTTGCCAACGCCTTCAACTGCATCAGCCGGGAAGTGGTGCTGAGCGAGGCGGCCAGCCGCGTTCCTGCCCTGGTGCGATGGGTCACTTGGTGCTATGGGCAAAACACTCGGCTCCAATTTGGTGTCCGCGCGTTGGAGTCATGCTCTGGCGTGCAGCAATGAAACCTTCTAGGGCCCTTGCTTTTGCTGCTGCTTTGCAACCTCTGGCCAACGAGCTTCGTCAAAGCGGCAGTCTCGAGATAGCTATGCACTTCCTGGATGATGGCGTGCTGGCAGGTGACATTTCCGCAGTCGGAGCTGCCTTGGCATTGGTCCAACAGTGGACTTCTGCAATTGGCTCGCGCCTCAATTTGCAAAAGTGCGAGCTGGTGGCTCTGGGGCCTGTGGATGAGGCCAGCGCGCGTGCCAGCTTCTCAGCCACACTGCTTTGCAACCCGGATGGAACTGGGAGAGTCCTCAAGAACTTTGAGTTGTTGGGGGCCGCCAGCGACGACGATGCCTCCATTCAGGCTCACACTCAGGCCCGGGCTGTGAAGGCTGGCATGCTGCTGGAGGCGCTTGCTGAGCTGGAAGATCCCCAGGTCGGGCTTCGCCTTCTGCGGGCATGCGGCTTCTGCCAGATGGTCCACAGCATGCGCTGCAACCCACCTGCCGCTCAGGCTGCTGCTCTTGATGGGCTAGTACAACGGTGCTTTATGGTGCGTTGGTGGGCTAACAGACAGCCATGTGACTGCTGAACAATGGTGTCAAGCTTCTCGTGGGCTGGCGCACGCAGGGTTGGGGCTGCGCTCCTGCCTCACGCATTCGCCTGCTGCTTACCTCGCTTCGCTGGAGGCTTCCCTCGAGCATTGCGTGGAACTGGACCCCAGCTTCTTGGCAGCCGCAGTGCGAGCCTCGTACCATGTGGTTACAGCTCTGCACACTCTGCCAGGCACTGTGGGCACTCAGATTGCCACGCTTGAGGCAACTTTGAACAGCAAGCAACGTGACGTCTCTCAAGTTCTGGACTCTGCCTGTTGGGTGGCCCAACTTGGCCGCAGCAGCCCCGTTGCTCAGGCTGTCCTTCCCTCCAAGGCTGGTTTGGGGGCCCGAGCCTTCCTTAATGCCATGCCCTCTGGACGCACCCGTATGCAGCCAGCTGCTGAACTGCGCATCCGGCTGGGTGTGCGTGAAGCCCTTAACGACTGCTGGTGCCCACGTTGCGATGGGGCATTGGACCGCTGGGGCTGTCACGCTGGCATGTGCGTGGCAGGTGGTGAACGCCCCTGGACATAACGCCTCGCGTGACCTGGTGCGCCCCTGGGCCGATCGTTCTGAGCTTCGACCCAAGAAAGAGTGCCCGAACCTGCTTCTGCCCAGTTGCCCAGAAGACACGCAGGCTAGCAGGCGCCGCCCTGCTGACTTTTCTGCCCGCCCTTGCCGGGTCTCCCGCTGCACTGGATTTTGCTGTCGCAGCACCACAGCTGCAGGAGACCTTGGCATTGGCGGCCAGAGAAACAGGCGCAGCAGCTGCAGCACACGCTCGCCACAAAGAGGCGCATCTGGACACGGCCAAAGCCTGTGAGAACCAGGGCGCGGTGTTTTTGTGCCTATGGCGGTACAGGCCACAGGCACTTGGGACAAGGGCGCCGCCATTGTTTTGCAACACATTGCCTGGGCTGTGGCCGCACGTGCTGGGGAGCCTGCACATATTCACTCTGTCATGATGCAAGGGCTGTGCATTTCTGTGCATCTCGAGCTCGGGCAGCTTTGCGTTGCCGCTATGAAAGTGCTGAAGCGTAGGCCCAACTCCTTGGCCTTCTCCAGGAAAGTTTCTTTCCTGTCAGTAGCCTGTCGAGGCTGGGGGCCGGGTCTACCGCACCCTGTGTGCCGGGGTTTTCTTCTCATTCCTTCGCCTGACTAGGCTAGGGGGCGGCACGGCCGCCGGGGCTTTCTTCCTTCCATTCTTTCTTAGTGGGGGCCGACATGGCCGGGGCTTTCTTTCTCAATTTTTGCTTTTGCAGCAAGCTGAAGCCGCAAGGACTTCAGTACAGGTCCCTGCCTGCTATGCTCCTTTCGATGTTTTCCGATGAACAAGGACACAAAACACTTGGTCACGGGAACGAAAGCAGCAGAACCGGGCAAGCATCACATGGAGTTGCTGTCCTGCATATCTTGGAAGAAACACAGCGCCGTCTTCCACAAGCTTCTGTTTGCGACAAACGCGACAAGAATGCTGTACCTTCAATTACACGGCAGCTCTTCAGGATTCACCACGTGATGACAAGCAGAGCACTCTTTGCAGGTGAGGTCGTAGTTGGATCGTAGCCTTGAGATGACTCCATAGGCCTGCAGGTGTTTCAACATGTTGCAACTTGCAATGCTGCTTAGCATGGCAAACGCTACGCTCTGCAAAAATCCCTTGCTGAACACAGCCTCGTCACCGGGAAGTCTGCCATCGAGGAGCTTTGCTATGGCTTGCTGCTGGCCAGGGAGAGCAAAAATCAATCTCAGTCAATCGAATATGGTTTTCAATGCTACAGATACGTGGTCTTTTCTGGCTAGCGCTTCTACACGGCGGGGACTGCCCTGAGAGTACAAGGACCAGCCTTCCAGTGACGTCGTGTCGGCGGACAATCCTTCCAAAAATGCACCATGAAACCGACTCTCCATGAAATCGCCTGAAGCCCCTGCACTAAACTCATAATGTTGGTGTGCATCGGCTCCTCATCGGCCAACTCTCGCCTCGTGCAGAAAGCCACTCAGCCCTTCTCACATCTTTTGTACCATTGACCTGGAGCTCATAGCTTGTAAACATTTTTTGAAATGCAGGCAAGCAACCGAATTGTAGTTGCTGGCTTCTTCATTGGAGTGTGGGCCCCAAAAGCCAGTTCCTGTCGAGCACCAAGCCATCAGAGTCGCTTAAAGCGTTACTTGATTTACACCACCATCACCACCACAAATACCGCGCAGTGCTCTGCAGTGCTAAAATGGCCTGCGTCCTGTATTGATCCTGAAGGACCGTCCGCGCACCATTGGCCTCGATACCTCACATGCTGCCCCAAGTCAAGGCTATTACCTAGAGCGTAGATAGTGGAAGCGAGCAACATGCAAACATGTATGTCATACAAAAATCGCATGGACAAGGCGCTTGGAGGTTCCGATTGCAGCAAGCACTTATGCAAGCCTTGTTCAAAATGCACATCCAAGTTTGTGAGAACAAGCTAAAAAGCCAGGCGAGAGCAACATCCTGCATGGCTGCACGCAAGCCGGCCTTGACACGCTGCGATGGCCTGCAGAAACCGTGGGCAGCTGACTAGGCTTCGCATGTCCGCAGTATCTGTACCTGCGCTGACATTCAGGGCTTGCAGATCATGGCCTCATCAAAAAACCTGGATGGTAAAGTGCACCCAACACCATGAGACTTGAAACAGCTTAAATCAGCTGTGCACACATGAAGGGAACAAGCCAACACGTCAAGACGTGGAAGGGTACCTGGAAGACAGCGACCCAGATTGAAAGGCACAGACCACTCTTACTTGTGGTCGAAATGAAACACAGCTGTCACAATCTCGCTGGGCAACGAGTATTGGATAGCAATGTCAATTTTCAGACTAGTGCCTCACGCATCGTTGTGGCGTCGACGGCATACCCAAAGCCTGCAATTGCTTGGCTGCACTGTGGCCCCATTGTTTGGAGCAACTTCAGCACTTGCGATGGTCAGTATCCAGCAGCATGTTGCTACGTTGGTTGCCCAGATGCGCCCTATTGTTGCTAACCACGGCTGCTGTGAAATTTGCACAAAGAAGTGGAGCCTGCAATGTCGGCGAGAAGCTGGCACGCCCACCGCCTTGGCACTGATTCGCTTTGAGACCGGGCTTAGACACCAGCCTGCCCACGTACAAAAAGCTTATCCATCCTTCACCATTCGACGTGAGTTCAGTGAGTTCGCTCCAGGAGGTTTTTCTTAGACCGCACTGGATGCAAGGTGCAGATCTTGATGTGCGAAGTTTTCCTAAGAAAGGTCAGTGCTTGGCCATGAGCTGCTCAAGGCCTAGCCTAGCAACCACCATGCAGTAATCGCTGTCAGATCTTTTCCGTCATGCTTCCCCATCTGCATATCTACCGGCCGCAGATAGATGAATGAAAGGGCAAATGGGAGGAACATTTAAAACAGTCCATAGCCAAATTGCTTATCAAGATCTGTTCTAACGAGCTGAACCCCGTACCCAACTTTGCTTCTCAAGTGATCACTCCATCCTATGAAGGTGTGTCTGTTCGACAGGACTCCCTTTCAACAGCATGCTTCTTGACGACTGTCCATGTCGCTGCTGCGATTCATCGAGGTGTCTAGGAAGTGGCTGCGTCAACCACTGTGGGAGCATGCGCTGCATCTGAGACTGTGAGAACCCACGTATTCAAGAAAACACCAATATTTTACTTTCACGCCATGCAAAAGCATGATGCATCATTCGGGCGGGATCTCACACTTCGCTCCCTCACGCATGCTCCTGCCGCATGGCTACTACCCTACAGACCCGAAGATATATAATATACAAATGAATGTGAACATCTCCTCCCCAGCCTCAACCCTCTAACGTATACTATCTTCTCTGATTTCGAATATGGACCCTGTGAAAAACCCTGTGCCATGTTCAGTGCATAGCCTGCTTGGTTTTGCCTCCACTTGCTGATGTTTGCCATAATTCTTTCCTAGCCACAAGATCTAGCAGTCTATCAGTCCTGCAGCTTGGGCGCCTCGGCTGAATCCGGCACGTGGACATGTAGGTGGATTCAACCGATATTCAGCCGGGAGTCCAACAAGCCGCAGAAAAACCCTCTCAGCACCGTGCCACTGACCAGCCTTCCGGCAGCTGGACAGCACTTTGCGAAAACCTGCTTCTGTTCCAAGGTTTCATTCAAACAAAGAGGTCACGACATATGCTGAGCTTGAACCTGTCTGCACATATTTGCGAGGCCTAACAGTCCGGACCAGTTCCCAGCTTTGTTTAATCATGCTTAAATTCTTTGTCACGTGTTCCTCGTGCTGACCACTCAAGGCCAAAGGTGCAAANNCTCTTATACACTCTGCATCACCTCTGGGAGGGAGCGGCTCAACTGGCCTTGTTTCTCCAGCCACACTTTAGCAAACATGCCAGCACCGCACGCAACGTCAGGAACTACAGCAGGCTGCGAATTCCTCAGCAAAGCTGCCGTTTGAATACGGATTCTTGTTCCATTGATGTAGAGGGTGAAGCTTGGGTTCCACTCTACTGGGCTTTTTCAAACTTGACTTATGAATTTGTACTAGGCTCCTATCCTGGGCTACCCCTCTGTTCTTGATGTAAATCCAGCGGGTGCCGAAGCAACTCCACCGCTACCTACGGCTACACCGTATATGAGTTACAAGCCTTGCAAACACAAACTGAAAACATGACAGGTTCACTTTCGGCTTCGTTGACAAGTATGTACAAAAAACTGTTTCTGTCCAGTATGACCTGCTCAATTTTGTAAGCACTTCAGCTCCTGGCTGAAGCAGCCAAACGGCCCATGACCATGCACCAACCTCCGCTGATTCACAGGCAAATTTGCAGCAAATGCCAATGGGGAACATGTAGCAGCACTCGAATCCGATGGCAGTCAGCCTCCTCACAGGCACGCAGAACTCCGTTGAGAGCTAACTCGTCCGGCAACACCTCCGCCATATCCCTCATACCCGACATGCAGCCGATGCATGATATTCAGCATGTTGTTTGCACCCAAGCTAACAAGTGCCACTTGTTTTCTCCAACTGTCGAAAAAAATTGAACCGACTCATGCGAAGACTTTGGGCCGCAGAGCAGCAAGAAACACAACACAACTCTGCCGCAATTCAACATGACACTATGCAATAGGATGATTGTGACTTGGCTTGCAGCCGAAAATCATGTAACCACTTTTACATACCGCGGAGTGGAAACTCCTGAGTTCAGCTTTCAGCCCCACCCTTCGCAATAACACGCCCGATACTCAGGTCGGCCATGCTGGACAACAAGATCTGCCTGATTCTGCGGCATCTCCAAGTATAACCTGACAGCATTTGTCCACCTTGGTCAACACATGTGGCATATGGGCACTTGAGCACTTCTCATGAAATTGTAGCATTCACTGTACCTGGTGATAATGTGCACAAAGGTACAAGCTGGTGAAAAGCACGGAGCAATGGAACATGTAACCTCAGCGCTCCGACTGGAGGCACCGCCCATGTGAACGAAGAACAGCAGCGTATGCCTTCGGAGCAAAAACTCACATCATGATTTCGCATCCAACCAATGTAAGTTAAAAACATGTCGCGCAATCGTCCTTCGTATTGTCCAACCATCGGGACTGCTGCACCACATCGACCTTACGTGAAACAGATCATGTATTTTGACCATGGGTTCACCATGAAAAATCGACACAGAACCTCGGCACGCGGCTGAACCCATGCCATTGAATCCATGCCAACGAGAAAAGTCATGTTCAAAAGCTGAAATCACATCAGCCTCTTCCAGCAAGGAACTTAGCTGCAAAAATGTTGAGTATTTACATGCGTTCTCTGCTCGCAAAAACCGTTTCACGTGTGGGCTTGTTCAATATGATGATGATGATGACGACGAGCCTATGTAACCTTGCAATCCGACTGTTGCCAGCTTGGTAACA